CACTGGTCTCGAACTTGGGAAGGGTTTCGTCTAACGATCCTCAAAAGTCGTCATCCTCTCTTACAGATGTTATTTTCGGTCTGCCAGATCTTGGGCGATCCCTCACATCATTCGTTTGTCGATGTTTGTCAATTAAACGGCTTATTACCGAGTGGTGACGACCTGTTCTTCTACCATTAGTTTTCATAAGACATTCCGCAATCTCTAAGTCCAATAATCTGCCACTCAAAACATAAAAAAATCGGTTTCTTTACCAATTTTAATTGAGTTTGACATGGTAATCCATAACAAGTTGTCCTATAGGTGACAATTGTCCGGGTGGCAATTGTCCTTCTCCCAGGCCGGAGATTAGCTGTGTGCTGGACCGGGACCGCTGGACCCTATACTTTGTTGTTTTAGTCTGAGGCAGTTTTGGCATATTGAAGTCTTGGGAGGATACGGCGATGAAGATATCAACAGCAGTGCATATTGTAATTTGATGGAACAGATCAGGAATGCTATTTCGTCTGTCGTGGAAGGGTAGTTTAGCTCAGTGAGAGCCAGGTACAAATAGTAGGATCAATAGCTAAATGAATATTTAGGTTATAAACAAATTAGTATGGCAATTGCGAACACTTTTTATCATAACTATTGGGCTCATGCTGAAACAACGAATAGATGAATACTACAAAAATACAGACAGAAATATGAGTCATCAGTGTGTGAATATATTGCGAGAATGTCAATAAATGTAGACGTGTAAAGTATTCTCGACAAAACATGATTCTAACTTGTTATAGGGATGAGCTAGTCTGTCTACAAGACACTAGATAATATGTTTCTTTAAAAGGCCAAAGTCAAGTTTATAATGATTCGGTAAGTCAAGACTGCGTCAGCTCTAGGTAATAAACCATTGTTATTTTTTAATACGTAGTTTTTGAAAAAAAATAAATGTATTTCTAAGGATAAATGCCTGTTGGCCAGACAGCCACGCTCGTGTCAACAGTCACGGTAAATTGTATAACGTCGCGCACCTGCTTTTAGTGTACGCCACCTGTAACCACATAACCACTTCCAGAATGAGGGCGATATACCAATATATATCATTTTACAAACATCTGACTACGTGATATTAGGGGAGAAATGTTGATGAAACATCTCCCAATGCTTCACATAATGTGCATGTGGAAGGGCTCGATCATATACATTGGTATATATGTTGTGACATGCACGCACTTGGACAGGCATGTAAGGCGAGGTATACAGTGAAGGCTTTGTGTAGCAAAGGCCCTATTAAAGGTTGTTACAAACGCCGATCCAAGAGTGGCTAGGAACAAGTGGCAAATATGACTCGAGGCATTAGACCCTCACTTATTTGTCTGATAATTTCATGATACCTATTACCCTGCAACACATACGCACGCTGACTCAGTTTCGCGCAGGGCACTTACTTCAACATATAGTCGTAGACTAGAAAATGGATACAGTACCGATCTCAATGTCGTCTCTCTTTACCGAGGGATCAATAGTTACCGATAGTAAATTATATTTATGGTCCCTAAACTCTTATTTGGTAGACTGCTAGCTAAGACATTAATATGTGTATCAAAATAGCAGTTAATGGTCACCTTTGGGTGGTTTTAAGGTTCGTCTAGTAGATTGTAGCATGGGAACACCATCATCGAATGGCCAATATGCAACGATTAAAGCCTTAACACGTTTTACATAAAATAAGATATTATGTTGAATAACCATCCAATGTATCATGGATTCGCTCCCACAAATGCTGGGTTCTGTTAATAAATACCTTTCAAAATATATCTATACACGTTTTAATATATCTATACACATTTTAAAATGTTCACGGGTATCAGCGCTAATCCCACCAAGCCAGTGGAGTGTAATGGGTATATGGGCAAAATATGCTTGTTTCTGTGGACTGCGAACGTTTAATAAATTCTGTTATTACCCACGTGGTCAACGTATGGGAAGTTGCATACTAATCTCGTACGTCACACGAGTGTCGTATCGCGTTGACCTGTGTCGTAACGACTTGACCTGAGATTCTAACGATTTGATTGGATAACCGATGACCTCTCAATTAGGCCACATTCTGACCTTACTATTTTTTCATTCATAACAAACACGTGAATCCATTCATTCTACAACTTAAATGCATTGTGGGAATGTAAACATCGCGAACGTTGCCGTGTCGCTGTTTAATTGTGAGCCGAACTGAGACATTATACCCGTCGAAAAACGTAAACGCAATGTTTCCACCAGTGATGTTAGCCGAATGAAGCAACTGCAAACCAAGAAACGGGGTGCTACGGAGTAGTTTACTGTAGGAGGCTGTACGAGGCGATGACAACTGACATGCATCGTGACGTCGGTTACCAAGGCAGTGACGTCATTACAGTGACGTCATGCAAATATTGTACTACAGTGCAAAACTCTTCTGCAACCTCTTTATGAAACCGGTTTCGGTTTGAAACCAAAATATTAACAAAAATACGCTATTTTGTCAATTTAATGCATGTAAGACGTGGGTAATAAATAAAATACCACACTTGGTCTCATTACATACGAATTAAACTCGTGACCTTCCTATGTTATCTGACCTCACTTTCGCTCGGTCAGATACCATAGGAAGGACACTCGTTTCGTATAATTCGTATGTAATGAGACCTCGTGTAGTATTCTCTATATACACCACTCGCACAGGTTCAGGGAGAGGAATGTATGTATGGCAATTGACGATACAAAATGTACCGTCTCTGCTCTAGTGTTAACAACATAGCGATTGTGTTCAATGAGTTTTAAGCCTATATATGTCAATAATTTATACATTCATGTATGGTGTGGTTCTTACTGCACATCCCTTATACCATATACATAAAATAAATGTGAATAACCTATAGATACCCTTTACAGGTTCATATATATGAAACTAATGTCGCACTGTTCTGTAAGTGTTCTTAGAGAACGATGAGTTTGTCTTATGACGTTGTAGAGTGGCCATAGTAGAGCGTTAGAAAAGCCATGTTATAGAGCTTAGGACAGTGGACTGTTACACAGCTTAAGGCGATAATGTCAGGGCGTTCGAATGTGCGTTACGGTGGCCATGTGAGTGCGATAGAGTCAATGTTAGCTGCCATGTTAGAGTGTTGGATAGTGTGAGAGATTTACTGAAGTAAAGTATATTAATTACAGTTATACTTTTGTCATATTGTGTTACTATCAGGACGAGATTCAAACACACGGGTCTCCAGTTGTAAGACTGATTTACAACATTAAGAAACATGTAGTTGTATTTGCCTATAATACCTGGTGATCGAAACAATTTTAAAGATGGGATGGACTTACAGTGAACACACAATGAGTAAAACTGTACTTAAACGGGTTTGGTATAGATGGTTGCACACTGTAGTGATAAACAGAAAATATCACACCTATCGTTTAACATTCCATATATGTTGGTATCATCCACTAGCCTGACTGCCTGCATAATCCTACAACGATATTTTTGTGAAATATGTCGTCAGAAGATTTTATGGGTCATCCTAGGCGAATGCTATGGAGCGGAATTTTACAATTCCTTAAATGGTGGTCGCATTAAATTGTAAAAAATCGATTAGTCTATATCAGTCAGCTCCTTGGAAAGTGAAATTATGTCAGCACCTATCTAAGCTCAACGTGAAATGCAATATCATTTTGCCATACATAAGAGCGTATGTGCACAGAATCAATACTCTGATACAAGTACTCAACATTATATAAGAAGATTTGTGTAAAACATGGCAGATAAGTGGCAGTAGACACACGATAAATTATTCAATATGGATTTGCCGGAAATAACGATTTTAGGAGAAAACGAATCAATGTGCGAATTTTTCACAGATTTCCTTCCTGCGTATGTAATGTTACGCCAATGACTTGAGGTGCCGAGTTGTCAAGATGATGGAAAAATGGGATGCCTATTTTTGGAAACAAGGTCAACAGACGGTGGTCACATAATGCGCGGTAGCTTGTTTCCTTGAGGGTCACGTGACTTTTCAATCCAATCACTATTTATAGATTGTTTATCTGTAAACAATTTGTTTGTTTGCGCCGTGCCGAGCCAGGGGAGAACCCCATACATGAAGATGAACAGAAGGAAGCCATGTTGAAAGGAAAGATGGAGAGAAAAGAACAATGAGGTGAATTTGATTGCGGATTGACGCCGGAGGTACTCATTAACGCTCTCGGAGACATATTTGAGGCGTGCGAGACACGCCGTGCAGTGATTCGCGGGTCGATTGGAGACGGTCGGGCACGAGTGCTCCGTGGAAACTGAAACTTTACCCTGTCTACCCATCGTGAAGTGGATTGTTCTGATCGGTGACGGTGAGTAAGTGGCCCATACCAGGTCGGGGTATATTTGTAATCCACTCTACTTGAAGCTTATTTTCGTTGTTGATATGTTTCACTGAAGTCTCAACATGCTTACTTAACTACAATATCGCCATTTTAGTTAAGCAATGCCTGGCTTGGCCTACTTTCCGATTTGAAGCAAGTGCCCGAAAGGTGGATTCCGCGCTATGAATAACGTGTGAAATCTAATCTTAGAACGGAGATTCCCCCGTGAAAATCCACGTATTTTTGCTTTATTATCGACTTATTTAACTACTTAACAAGTCAGAATTACACTGGAGCAAGTTTAGATTTGAATCGCCCTGGATCGCGTCTTGCTCGAACGTTCTGGTCGTTTATCTGATTCATTGCACAACAAAAGATCAGCGCATGTTTGTGTTGATATGTGAAATATATGTCAATAACTACCGGTAAATATACAGTTATTTGTAGATTTTAGGTAGTAAAGACATTAAGGAATGGTTTGAGAATATGGAATAGGTCAATGGTCGCACAGGACACCTCACCCAAATCAGTTAATTTTATTAATCTGTTAATTTTCCGGTGTTAGAAAAGGTCATGGTGTTAGTAGCCTCGTTCTGGATTTGTCTATTTTTAGCAGTGACCGGCAAACGAAGGGAAACACCACTGCATTCTTAGATCAGTAGGCCCATTTGTAATGGAATAATATTGTTATTTCAACATCAAGTGGAATCGTAAACATTTTTATTTTAATAATCGAAGTTCATTCTTATAATTTATGTGACTTTATGACTGAATGCGTCTATATTTTACATGAAGGATGCTTAAACGTGGGGAGGGGCTTTCCCTTTTCCAAAGCAATGCATTTCTTTGTTTGATTTTGTTGGTGTTGATTATATTTCAGTATTATTACGGTTATTTCTACTTTTTAGTTTTGTACTCTGTTGTTTTAATTACATACTGGTTATTTGTAGGCTCCTAATTTAATTAAGTTGATGAAGAAATGGGGTGTCATAAGTAATACTTTCAATATTTCACAGGGGTTCTTAGTTTTATATCTCAACATTCCATGGATGTGGCTTAATATCCCATAGTTGTTAATACATTAGCTGTTTCATTTACAAAAACTGGGAATCATAGGATTAAAGTTCCGTTCTTTTTTAACATTTTAGGAAATTGACTTGCACTCATCAGTACAGTAGTGGCATATATGTCCATACAATACTGATGATGATGATGGTGATTGGTGTCTTATTATATCATTGTTATCCTTGCAGGTCATGGATGCAGGTGAAACTAGTGAAACGAAGGATGCTGATCAAACGTAAGTGGTATATTTTAGCTGGTATTGTTATTTCATGTATTGCATGTCATAATATAAAGGTCGGCGATGTATTGAAGTATGTATACATACTCACAGATATCTCTCTGAAATAACTGCACCTGCAATCCCCCTCATGCAGTATGCAACACCTCATGGGAATAATTTAGGTTAAGTTAGGTATCACCTTTTCTGCTTCTAATTTATTGATGATTGTCATTTTGCTTTACCTTTTTGAAGGACTGGTGTTTTGCTTTACAACCTTAAAAATCTAGGCTGTCTTTGAGCATTTTCATTTTCTTTTAATATACAAGAACAAGCCCTCATTTGAATTTGTAAACGCCTTACCTCTTTGTTAACTGTAATTTTTAAAGTCATCTGATAGAGCAAAGAAGCGATTAAAGTATGAGAGTCATACCCCAAGACTACATATGTCCAGCATGCCCCGTGAAATTTGATAACATCAATATACAGAATCATCTGGTCTGAGACCGGCTTTACATTAATGCTGGGGTGATATTTATAGCCCACATTTAGCATAAGTGCTGAAAAAGTATGGGCTGATAGAATAGATGATTTGGGGCCAATTTGTCCGTATCAGATAATGTTAATGTCAAGATATCTCTATATGTGTTAGATGTAGGTCAGTCATGCCAAAAAGGTTGACACACTTTAATACTGATGTGACAGTTCTGAACTGGGTGTCATGTGAGATCTAGTCACACTGATGACATGTTTTCTCTGACAGAGAGGAGACTGAGGCCTGTGTCCCTGATCATGATGTGAAAGAAAAGGACACGGTGGAGACAAGTCGGAAGCGATCATCGCCAGACGATGAAGATGAAGACGAGGACGAGGAGCAGATGCCAGAGAAGAGGTTTGTTTTCCCCCAGAAGCTGCACATACATTTCCTATGTAGATCATGAATATGTATTCACTCAGTTGTGTCATCAGTAAATCAAGAAAATCAAGGTGCAATGCACATCCTTGTTTCAAATTGTAAAGGAAACACCAGTGTCCTGCTCTGCTGCTATTGTGTTTTTTAATCTTGAGCCACCTTAAGCATTGCCAAATCTTAAATGCAACAGTGCACCGTATTTCCCCCTTCTCAACATGGCACAAATTAGACTAGGGTTGGCTAAAAAGATCAATATTTGGAAATATCATCTATAAGAAAAATTATTAATGATTATTGATAGGAAAATAGTGTCAATGATAATACCATACCTACAATTTTGTGATAAAGTAAAGTTTAAATTTACTCAAACTTTGGTATTTATTCATGGGCTGCTTGTAAATTATGTTCAGGATGCTCTTTTGTTAGTCCCACATGGGTACAATGTGTGAAGCCCATTTCTGGTGTTCCCTGTCGTGATGTTGCTGGAATATTGCTAAAAGCGGCATAAAACCAAACTCAGTCAGTCAGTCAGTCAGTCTTTTGTTAGTAATAGGGTGAGCTGGCTAAGGCGCCAGGCTAGTGATCCAGCGAGGTTGAGGTGTCAGGATCGAGCCCACCTGTGACCGGGTGTAAAAACCTTGGAGTCAACTTTGTGTGCACTCTTTCAGTGTTGTCACAACCCCTAGTGTACAGTTCACAACCCTGTGCACTTGAAAGAACCCACGAATCCGTGGTATATGACCAGATGGTGGCCACATGAATACGTGCAAACACCTAGTTGCTGGTACAGTAACGTGCAGTGAACTTGGACAAGGTACTGTGACTATGTGTCCCAGTCCATCCAGCTGTGAATGAGTACCTCATTAGGATGAGAAAGCCAAAATAACTTGGTGCGCCTAGTGGCTGCAAGAGTTATATACTCCCCAGGGAGTTGAGATTGATAATACGATGTGCCGTTGAGATTGACATCCAATGATCGAGGAAAAATACGAGCACCTTGAGCATACACTAGTTGCCTGGATATGTGCGCTATGTAAATATCCTATAATAAAAAATATCCTATACTAATAATAATAATAATACTGTAAACGTAATATATATCGCGCAGGTTTTATTTTCGTGCAAAATATTTTACAGCGAAAATTTATACACAGCGAATAAACCTTTCATTCATTCACTCTACCCACGCCTCTGAGTTGTTACCATAACACATCAAGTTTGAAGACAGATATCTACGGGAATCTTAAAATGACGACTGATAGTAGCATAAAGAATCATACTTAACTGTTGCTGTAATGGATTTCCCAAATCATGTCCGACATGTTCTATTTTGACCAATCATAGTGACAGATGGTTTGATACAAAATGGATTACCATGAAACTACTCGGAAAGAAATAATACAGCAGTATTTTATTTATTTATTAAGATTTTATTTATATTTATTCGTGCATATCACGAAATGAAATCACAAAGTCTGGATGTCCAGGTGCCTTGGGGTTAGGTGCTTTCTTTAACCACATTCGCAATGCCATTGTCAGAATCGAAACATAAGACTGAAGTGTTTTTCATCTCTTTATATAGTATACTAGTACCATCACGATATCTCACTTCCAAAGAACTTAATACTTCCGTGAGTAAACGTATTAGTATATATAATCGCGCATGTAGGGATTTCCTGTGACTAAGCAATACACGCCGCCTGACAGGTTAAGCCACTCTGGTTGTTTCATTGCTATTAGTGGCGGCCTAAGAGACAGCTGGCAGTTCCGGCAATTACTGATTGTGCGAATAATTGACGTGGTCTAAACTGTCAATTCCGTGAAATTTGCACCAAGTGAAAAAAAAAGTATGTTTACAGTAATCTATGCTTAAACATGTCACCACTCACCAATGGTGTGAAATATATTCATTTCTTTCAGACTATTTTGTTTTAATTTTTGCTTAAAGTTACCTCTCTGATATTTATCGATAATCGATTGATATTGAGTTACTGGTTTTCAATCTCTACAATCTAATTCGATAGCCAGCCCTATTTCTTTGAGTGGCATATTTTGAAGTTGGAGAGTCAGATAAGGACACATTTTATGGATAAACAACTCGTTATCCAGGTGATGCAAAGTTTCGATACAGATTCTTGTATCATACTTGCTTGACAACGATATAAGAATCTGTATCAAAGCGTCACATCACCTGAATAAAGAAGTTGCTCATCCATAAAGTTTGTCCTTATAGGCCAGCCCTACATTAACCATTAACATTGGGGTTATCACATGGACCCCGTGATTTTCCTGCTTAATTTTAATGTCTGCATATCATGATATCTAGTCAAATGCGCAATGCATTATCTGTCTGACTATGTTCCACTTCCAGTGACCTTAAATATCTAAAAGTGAAAGACATTATAAGTGGAGACTTTGACTTGTGGAGATTCCGGGGCAGAGTAGCTTTTACATGCCCATGTTTACTGACTGAAGTGTACAGTGACCTGCATGTGTCCATGACCCTCCCCCGCTGCCATAGATTGGGGCTCAGGGTATTAGTAATAACCATACTGGAGGTTTTGCTTGGCTTCCTGGTATTGTTATATATAGCAGGAATGTTCCAACAGTGGCAACATACACCCACCTACTTGCAGAATAATGTTAGCTGTTTCTAGTTTCAACAGCAAATTTTAGTCTTTGGGGAATAACATCAGAACTTACGATTTTAAACAGAAATCTCAAAAAACTGTCGGAATTATTTTCATGTCCCCAAGGCATACTTTTCTCCACTCCAACTATCTGCACTTAACTGACTTTTCTTTTCAAAAGAAACAATTTTGATTAACTTAGGACTATCGCCAACAGCTTCCCTGTTATGTTTTTTGCATCATCAGCTTGGAATTGCATCAATTAATTGCATAAATCATTGGTTTCATTCACAACTATCCACTTCAGTACTTCAGCATAATGTTGTCAAGTAAAGCAGAACAATCTATGCAAGTGAGACATTCTTAAATCTTAAATTGACTTTACCCATGAAGACTCGCTGACTTGGTTGACACATGTCATCGGTTCCCAGTTATGTAGATCAATGCTCATGCCGTTGATTATTGGATTGTCTGGTCCAGACTTGATTATTTATAGACCGCTGCCATATAGCTGGAATATTGCTGAGTGCTGTGTAAAACTCAACTCACTCACTCACTCACTCACTCACCAACTTTTCCATAAAACTTTCGGTGCAGTCAAACTAGAGTTTGACGTGTGAAGTGTTGTCAAACTCGTGTTGTTCAGAAACAACCAATCGCAGTCAACGGAATTGTCACGTGACCGCAACGATAGCGACATGGTGCTGAAATGACACGAATGGTTGACAGCATGTGTTTGATGTGTGAAAATGTGAGTTTGACAACTATTAAAATTTCAACATGTGTTGTGAAACTTAAGTTTGCCATGTGAAGACCGCTTAACAGAACCCAACACTGTTGCATGAACTTACTGACATGCTCACTGACTATAAGTGTGGTTAAACATATTGCTTTGCAGTTGTGTCAGTGGCATTCGTGAAGACAACCGCAAATGTCATTAAGGTTTCGTATAGAGAAAACAAAACATTTACAAAACATGATCTCTCTTTACAAGCAGTGTTCTTGCTTGGGCCTTGTATTCACATGGGTGTTCACTTGAAGCTGACATGTCTTAACAAACATTGTGTGTAATAGGTGCAAACTTCTCTTGACAAACATGGTCAGAAATTTGGGCTGGCATATCTCAATTATAAAGGTGTGAATTCATATGGTTATTTGAAAATGCAAGGATGCCAAGCAATGTTATAGTTGGTCAAAATTTTCAGTGCATTGAAACAACTGGAACAGTTGGACAGTATCCGCTTATAAATCCTTATGAGTTCACCCATTTCTCATCATCATCATCATCATCATCATCATCATCACCGTCATCTCATCTGATTATCTCACAAGAGCTCTTAAACCGTCTGCAACGCATGTGCTTCAATGCTTATAAATGGCTCTGAACTTTAAAGTTTTAACCCTCGTCTACCAGTGCATACCACTGCTCCAGCCTATCTCAAAGAACTGTTCAAACCATATGAGTTCACAAAATGGAAGTTGAAATCCTATGGTTTTCGTTCCTTTTCTCGATGAACTGGAATGATCATCATCATCATGTTTCAAATCAAATCACCTATGTTTTAAAATGACTCCTAAATTCATCTTAATCCCTGTCATTTTTGTTCATTACAAACAAGTAGTCAGTATTTAGTATGAATGTCAAGGGGTCCTTGTCACAAGAATATACTCTGGTTTACTCCACAGGAGTAACAATTGTATTTGGTTCAGAACATGAACAATGTCCTGGCAACTTGTGGCTTGCTTTGCTTGATTTCAGTGGCTATAACTGACATCCTATCATATTCCCGGGACTTGAAATGTTAATTATTACGATTTTAAGAACATAAGAAGCAACACTTGCATTCAGTGTGACCCTGTTGTCACCTTCCCAAAGTTAAAGATTTAGGTGACATCGTAGAATCAAATGCTATAGCAGCAAATCTCAAGAACCACAGGATCCTAGTTTGCTACAAGGACTGTAAACAGTGCAAGTATTACAGGCCCGAAGATGGGTCTCATCAATCATCCATGTTAGTTGTTAGAATTATCTGAAATACATGTACAGTATATGACCTTGATGGCAGAGTCATTAAAGTGGTTCATGTGCCTTGATAGAATTAACCATTGACATTATCTACAGGTTGCCTGGATACCACTGGTACACCACCTCTGATGTTAAAAAACACACTCACCGAGTCATTAAAATGCTATTTTGACAGTTATGTGATTGCTTTCTTTTGTTTTTCAGGGCCAGATTGGGGGACAAAGATTCTGCAGAGGCAATAGAAACTACTAGTGACCCAAAGAAGGAAGATATCTCAGAAAATCCTGACGAAGATGTGGTTACTCCATCTGATAAAGACACAGATATTGCTACCAACAAAAATGATAAAGCAGCATCTCCAGATCAGGATGTAAATCCTGGTGAAGAATCATCAAAAGACAAAGATATTGCCAAAACTGAAAGTCCTCAACCAGTTGATGTTGACATGACTGAGCCAAAGAAAACAGATGAAAATGATGAAAAGGAGGAAACAGACAAAAGCAGTGCTAACAAACAAGGTGATAGTGAGCCTTCAAAGGTGGAGCCTGTCAAGGAAGTTGTGGAAGATCTAACGGTTAAAGTGAATAATTCTGTGAAACATTCTGAGGCTCAAAGATTCACAGATTCTCCAGCCCAGAATGGGAATGATGATACCTCCACAGTGAAGTCAGATGATAGTGAGAAAGAAAATATTCGGATACCAGAGAATCCTGTAGATTTGAGTGCACCAAAGAAAAGTGGGTCAGATGTTATTACATTGTCTGATGATGAAGATGAGGATGCTAAGATGCCAAATGGAATAGTATTTAAAGAACCAACAGAGGAGGAACTGAGGCACAGGCGCAGGCTTATAAAAAGACTGCAGGCTGAACTACGCAATGAAGAAGCTAAACTGGTCTTATTGAAGAAATTAAGACAAAGCCAATTGTCCCACCAGCTTCAAGATCATCCACCGGAACGTACAAAGCCTCCCAGCTCTAGCAGACAGAGCAACAGTGGACCACCACCTCTTGTCAGGGGTGGACAGCAGAGTTCTTCCTCCAAGATGGTGCCACACAATGGTCATGGACCACCAATGAGAGGACAACAAATCTCTCAGTCCTCTCGCTCCCAGATGCATGGACCTCCACCTTTAGTCATGGCCCCCAGAATTGGCAACAGTCACAGTCATCTGATGACTCACGGCATGAGGGGAGGTATGGTACCAGGAGGAACTCCTCCAAGTCTGATTTCTGGGTTCCGTAGCATGTCGCAGCAGCAGGCCCATAGACAGAGGGAGCAGCAGCAACAGCAACAACAGCAACAGCAACAACAGCAGGAAGAGGTGCAGACACCAGCTCAGAGACAGGCAGCAGCCAAACTGGCTCTACGTAAGCAGCTAGAGAAGACATTGCTGCAGATACCACCTCCCAAACCACCACCACCAGAGATGAACTTCATTCCCAGCCTGTCCTGCCCTGATTTTGTTTTGTTGCTGGGTTTAGAAGAAGTGGTTAATTACATCATTGATTCTCAGCTGATTGCCCGGGGAGAGAAGAACCCTGATGAGAAGTTTGTGTGTAACCCCTTCTCATGTGTGCAGTGTAACTCCGACTTCACTCCAGTCTGGGAAAAGAGAGAAGCCAGGTTCTAAAAATGTTATCTGTGAACACTGTGTTACATCCAACCAGAAGAAGGCATTGAAGCAGGAACACACAAATCGTTTGAAGAGTGCCTTTGTTAAAGCACTGCAACAGGAACAAGAGATCGAACGGATGCAGGCTCAGAGTGTGAATGAGCCCCCGTCACCGAGGTCAAGCACAACCACCACTGCCTCAACTCCTGTGTCTACAACACCACTAGGTCTAGTGTCCAGTTCTGCCATGGGTCTCTCCACAAACTCGCCAATGAACCTCACACCCTCCTACAAGCCTAGTCAGGAGCAGTTGCGACAGCACCAGAATTTCATCCAGGCTCATCAAGCCCAGCTAAGAGCAGGACAGCCTCTTGGACTACAACCCTTTGGACACCGCGGACCTTTCCCGTACCAGATCCCATTCACCAAACCTTCTGACCTACAACGACAATACTTGCTGGACCTCATACCTCGAGGAGGAGCCATGTCATGGAAATCATGAAGATGATACGTTATTTATTGATAGAAGATGTTCTCAGAACAAACGAAAATGACAAATCAGTAACATCAATCATGAATCAATGACAATAACTTCAAAGAAGTTTATGACTAAAGGCAGATTGTCTGCAACTTGTAGAAAAATTCCATTCAGATATAATTCTGTTGTGACGTAGCACTAATAATCATGGACGTGTGTGTGTGTTGAAATTACTTGCTGCTTAAAACAGACATCATCATTTGTAGTTACTCTCAAGGTATATATATATATCACTGACAGGGTACCACAGGATTACTTGAGACTCGGCTGATGGATATCAGGTACCCTGCATCGTCACTCACTGTCCTTTGTCAAATCATGCTTTCATAGTGAATTCACCGTAATAACTGTAGTGGACTTGGCCAAGCTCTGGGACAGTAACCGTCTGTAATTCATCACATAATTCTGGTGTTGTTCAGCTCACCTTGTGTCATGGGACTGGAAGCAGGAACCCGTCTACTCATATTGTACAAGCCTGTATATGACATTATCAAAGTGAATATGTTATTTATGCTGTGTTTGTGGCCACTGTTCCTGCCGGCATTTGGTGATATGTTTAATAAGCAATGTTGGACTCCCAACTTCTTGGGGCTACAGATCCTGATTTCTTATGTTTTTGGAGCTGGGGCGATTCACTTGAATAATGGAAGTTTGTGATATATACAAGATGACTTGATTGTATCGGAAGGATTTAATTATGCAAATTCACCCTGGTTATGAAATCGATTGATGGCAATAGATTCACTGATGATAGATTCATCCAAAAAGACACGTTTGTTTTCTTTTTTCATCTTACATATTTAGTAACTTGTGTAAGTTTGGATAGTTTGTTTGTCATCTTGTTTGGAAGTTTTAACCGGTGATATGTGTGAGCTGATTCTGGTACTTCAAGGCATCACATGTTATCTATCGTGTGTACACTGCTTACTTTGTTATAAGAAACAAGTATGTTCATTTAAGGTGATGTTTGGTTTATGGCATCTTCTGTTGACAATGCCATCTGATCAGGAACCTTGTTATCGACTTGTATTTAGTTGATGACATTGGCGCCTTTTCAGACACCAGCTTGATTTCAAACATACCAACTTAGCTGAAGCTAATATGTTTGTGGGTGATAATGCAAGGATCCTGCCAGGGTTGACCTGGAGCCCCTGTGTTGTAGCTATCTAAACCCTGGATATATGGAAGAGAACCTCCAATCTAGGTTCAGGCAGTGTATAGCCTTCATGACAGCATCTTTAGCTTGAATGTATCATTATGCCATAGATTTGGGTGTCATAATCATAAGTGCTTGCTCCTAAATCAAATATTATTTTCGGTCATTTATTAGAAAACACAATCTTCAACTATATACCGACATGTTTGTGAGTGTGCTATAGAACTGTATTCAAGAGCACTGCTGTATCCAAACCTCTTTATAACAGTTTTGTGCAACTGGAACAGTTTGACTTCCAGTGGTGTAATGGTATTTTTATCATAAAAGAATCACTGTCCAATCCTTTCTTAAGGTTATTCAGCAGTTGCTGCAGCTGAGAAACCAGCCCACCGACATTGTCCATGATATATGAACTTTGAAGTCACAGCAAATTGTTACCTTAATGTTTTGGTAGTTAAACAGTTTCAGCAGAGGACAGTTCCCTTTCCTACCAGTGCTAAACCTACAGTAACCTAAAACTGTTTCTCTGACCTGCAGGAGAAGCTAGTTTGCGATTTACAGTGATTGTCTGGGGCCATGTCTGCCAGTCTGTTTTTCGATCAAAACAGTAGGACTTCATGTATATGCAGCTTGATGTTTACGTGGCATTATGTCATACAGTGAATCCTTAGCACTACAAGACATTTTCAGGTTTATCATGATTTACCTAATTGGTTTATCAATCATCTGATGATTCATAACAGTTTCAATATTTATTGCGAAAACACAGAAACTACATGTATCTCACATTCATATATTGAAAATAATACTCATCCAGTGCTTTGAAATATTTTCCTAACTGCTTCAAGGTCTAGGGCACACACCATATGCTGAGTCATCACTCAAGCAGTAATTTGTTGTAAATAGATTGTGAGAGTAAAAACTAATCCTAGATTTACTCCCAAACTGTCAATTTCCATCCCTTCTTTAGGCAGATCTACAACTTGCGTCTACATGGTTAAACATTATCACTGAGCTGAGGCTATGTATATCATCTGCTTAAGCTCTGACCTTGACTGCAATCAAATTCAAATCTATCATCCTGTTGAAGCTTAACTTTGATAAATCAGTTGGTTAACCAGTGTCATGATCTTTATTGTTACACGGCAAGACTCTCATAGTGAATGGGTGAATCGTACCAGCTCTGTTGATTTTGTTGTGATGAGTCTTCCTGCCCCAGCAGTGCAGGGTTGTCAGTTGATGAAGATGTGTGTATACGTCGGCCACTGCGCCGTCACAGCAGGGTGGTTGGTGCAGAATATCAGTATGCACTTGCAGTTCTGCACAATGTTCGTAGCTAAGATGGTGAATAAACCTATTTCTTGCACATGGGTGTTGATGTTTTTTGCTCAGGTGTTGTATGTAACAGTCTCACATTGTGGGATCTTGGTGTGAATAGGTCACCAGCAATGCTGAGCATGTGAGGCAACTAAATGGATTGGATGGGCAGGCTCTGATATATGTGTTTTTTGTTAAAGCAATGTGGGATGTTATCCATTATATGAATCCCTGCATAAACTGGAGTAGTTGTCACCATCTGTGGCTTAAATAGTGATGCCTAAGACATTACACAAACAAACTGACAGGTTCAGCCTATGTTGTATAATCTGGACATGTGTCAGCTAATTCACCACCTTTATGAAAAAGGCACGTCTTCATGTAAGTGATCTAATCTTGAACAGCATGTTAAACCCTATTTCACTTCAATCCAACTGGAAAAAAGTGCTTTTTAATGTGTGTGACAGCATTCCATTCTTGCTGTATTTGCAACCAGGAATACACTAACATAACTTGCTTAAGGCACTTCATAGGTCTGTATGGATGCTTTCACTCAATGTCATTTGATGTCACATCATGGAACATACCATTATTACCAAGAACTGCAAGAATTCATGTTTCATTTATAAAACAATTTCAGTGAACACTGACTATACAAGATCAACAAATTATTTATCATTCCCAGCAATTTTAGTACCTACCCTTTGTTTACTAATAAGACAAGTATGAAAAAAAAGCTTGTTAATCTCAATCTTAAAATAAACAAGAGGAAGCTCTGGCAATCAACAAAGGGTTTACACAGCTCGATGACATAATATTACCATAAACACTAAACCTGAGATGAAATTGGGTTCAGTGACCTTTACAAGAAAGGTTTCACACAAATAATAATTTTGAAGTGTGTGGCCGCTTTCACCTGACAGTACTTTGTCCAGATTATGCAAGCCTACCATGCAGCAGTCTAACATGGTGACCCCACTCCGATTCATTATACAGACTAAAGCCTACCAGTCCTAGTGTTCCCCACTTATTGCCGATCACCAGGCAGGGTTACAATAAGTGCCATGTTTTGTATGGGGCGGTGGGGTAGCCCAGTGGTTAAAGCATTCGTTCATCATGCAGAAGATCTTGGTTCGATTCCCCACATGTGTACAATGTGTGTAGCCCATTTCTGGTGTCTCCCACCTTTATATTGCTGGAATATTGCTAAAAGTGGCGTAAAACTAAAACCCACTCACTCTCTTTGTATGACAATACCAGATCAAGCAAACAATGTTCTCGCGGTATTCCACTTTCTTTGTGCTCTATTCAAGACACCAAGGTCATATTTTTCAGAAGTAATTTGAACATTTGATTGACTTCATTAAAGGTTCTCTGCATGATTTGCATGTTGTACATTTATTTCTTCATTTTCTGCCATAAAATGAAGAGTTGGATATAGAATAACCCACTCACAATACTCCAAAAGCTGCACCATTGATTCTCACTCAGGATGGATAAGTTCTTCACACCCAGTGAGCATTCCGGTTACTCGCCAACCTAGTCTGGTTGAAAGAGGTGACCAAACTGGTAATCAGACACAACGACTGGAAGGTTGCGTGTCATCGTACCATGATACTGTCAGTCATAATCACAAGATTTGAGTGTGTTGTTTAACAACAAACTGTACACAGAGACAGATTTGGAAGTGAAAGCTGGAGTTTAAGCAGATTGTACTTCCTTCAATGAAGGTCCATCCCTGTACCACATACTTATCATCAGCTATAACATTCCTTCAATGAAGGTCCATCCCTGTACCACATACTTATCATCAGCTATAAGCTATAACATTCCTTCAATGAAGGTCCATCCCTGTATCACATACTTATCATCAGCTATAACATTCCTTCAATGAAGGTCCATCCCTGTATCACATACTTATCATCAGCTATAACATTCCTTCAATGAAGGTCCATCCCTGTATCACATACTTATCATCAGCTATAACATTCCTTCAATGAAGGTCCATCCCTGTATCACATACTTATCATCAGCTATAACATTCTTTCAATGAAGGTCCATCCCTGTATCACATACTTATCAGCTATAACATTTCTTCAACGAAGGTCCATCCCTGTATCACATACTAAGGTCAGCTATAACATTCCTTCAACGAAGGTCCATCCCTGTACCACATACTTATCATCAGCTATAACATTCCTTCAATGAAGGTCCATCCCTGTATCACATACCTATTATCAGCTATAACTGTTTACGCAGTGGAATTACTAAAAGAAATTTTGAACGTGAAACGTGAAAAAACGTGCTTAACTAAATGGTAAATAAACAACGTTCTTGCCAATTGGACCACCAAACTAAATATACTGAACAACAAAAGTTTAGCACATTTTTGTAACATTTATATACAAAAGAATGATATGAGACAAAATACTGAAATTTGGCCGAAACGTGAACACATGATGACACACTTGAGTGCCATCAAACTTTACTCGATTGTTGGACCGTTGTAAAAACCAGGATGGTGCACGTGCATATTGTGTTTATGCCCATCGGCAGAAAAATCATGCAAACTGGGGTGTATAAAAGGGTTGACATGACACACTGGAGCTTCAGTGTACAAAAACCGCAAAGAATTGTTCAGTTTGAAGCATGGGTCGTCGGCTTGGAATGCCAGAAATTCAACGCAACGAAGCCCTCGGATTGAACGCAATGAAGCCCTACGTGCTGGCCATCAAGTAAGAGACGTCGACAGGCACTTCCAAGTGCATTACAGCACAATTATTCGTCTGCGGCAACGGGTCCAACAAACTGGCCAAGTTAGAGACCGACCAAGGTCAGGAAGGCCTCGTTCTACCACCCCACGGGAAGACCGCCACATTGTGACGTCATCACGACGACACAGGTTAACAAGCGCCCCACGTCTGGCCAACGAGCTGCGACAAGCTACGGGTACACACATTCCCCTCCAGACAGTCCGTAGGCGTCTCCATGCAGCAGGCCTACGTGCCCGACGTCCGGTTGTATTTGAATGAACGATTGAGGTGGGCGCAGATCCATCAACGGTCGCGACAACAACAGTGGAACCAAACATTATTCAGTGATTAATCACGCTTCTGTGTGGAGTTTGCGGACGGTAGAGCTCGGGTATGGCGGAGAAGAGAGGAAAGCTATGACGCCGCCAACGTCATTGAACGGGACCGCTACTGTTTAGGTAGCGTGATCGTGTGGGCTAGTATCCACTTGAACGGGAAAACAGACTTGGTTGTAGTCGCTGGAAGGCTCAATGCTCAGCGCTACTGTGACGAAATCATCACACCAACCGTCATTCCATTCGTGCAGAATCAGCCACAGTTCCTGTTCCAGCAGGACAATGCACGACCCTATACTGCAAGATTGACCACGCAGCTCTTGCAGGCATCCAACATCCGGGTACTAGACTATCCTGCAAGATCACCAGACCTGTCCCCTATCGAGCATGCGTGGGACCTCCTTGGCAGACCATCCCAATATGGTGAACAGCCATCGACTTGAGCAGGCCCTGCGGCAAGAGTGGAACAACATCACAGTCGTCGAGATCCACACCCTCATTCGCAGTATGCGACGACGATGCACAGCCGTCATTCACGCACGTGGAGCCCACACACGCTATTAACTCGTTTTTGTCATTTGGAACGTTTCACCCTTACCCTACAATGTGTAACGTCAGCTTGACGTCCTGGATTGAACACGTCTTTTGACACTTCCATTGTGCGGTCAAATGGTCACTCTATTTCTGTGCGTGATGAATTATAGCATCAAGTGTTACTTGTTGAAAATTAAATACAATTTCCACAAATGTGCTATACTTTTGTAGTTTAGTATATGATACGTTTTCTAAACTACATGAACTAAATAAGCTATCTGATAAGATACACAACTATAATACTAAATTGTTTAGTATCTATACTATGCCCGAATATGGCAAACTATTTGTGTAATCTACGACCAGTACGAGTCTCACTGATCACAATTGTCGACCATCCACCAAGCCGTCAGAAACACATGTGCTCGACCCTGCACATGCAGAAAGTGACTGCTAGAGGCGTTACGGTTGCGTTTTGATGCAACGTTCATGGTTCTTGTAAAGATGTGTTTTGGCTATGTTTTTTCACCTATCAGATATCAAAACCAAAGAAACTAACTTTCTCTCCAGAACATATCCCCCTTTGCTGACAAGACCCTGGTCTTTCAGAGAGACATCTATTTACATCTAATTACACTAAATGTTGTGTAGAGTTGTACTGAACTTGAAATGTACACGATGTTCATCCTATTCTGGATTCCACTCCAGTGGACAAAGCTTGGTAACAGGTCTAGTCAACACCGATTGCCCCACTTGAAGATCCAGTACTCTGACATGTCCATCTTTGTTTGGATATATCTTGGTGATTCTACATAGCGGCCAGCTTCCTCGTGGAGATTCAGGACTAACAACAATGACAACGTCATTTATTTTTAAGTCCTTACGTGTAGCTTGCCATTTCTTGCGGACATTGAGAGTGGGTAACCACTCTTTCATCCAACTTTTCCATATATGCCTCAGTAACTCCTGCACACGCCTCCAACATTTACGAGGATTGAAGTCTTGTAGGTCTTCCTCAGGTGCAAAGGGGCCACCACATTGACCATGTAGAAAATGGTTTGGTGTAAGAGGCACAACATCACTGGGATGTGCGCTCTGATATGTCAGAGGTCGAGAGTTTAACAAAGCTTCTGCCCCTACAAAGGCGGTCATCAGTTCCTCGTCTGATATATCACCAGAACTAAGAACAGCATAGATTGCTCTTTTGGCTGATTTAATCAAAGATTCGAAAGTTCCACCAAAATGTGGAGCATGTGGTGGATTAAACTTCCACACGACTTTTCTGCTTGCAAAAGAAGCTTTTAGATCGTCTCCATCAAGTTCAAGTTCCTCTGTCTAAGTTCCTTGACGGCTCCCACAAAGTTAGTGCCGTTATCAGAGATGACTTCATTTGGCATTCCTCTTCTGTGTGTCATACGAGAGAAAGC